CATTATCATCCTCTCTGGATCATAGTTCAGCGACTCAAAAAGAATGAATGACAAGATGGCCTGGCTTTGTGGAGGAGAAGAGAGGGGAACTCAGGGTATTTTGCATTTTCTTTTTGGGTTTACAGTCTCCTCTTCAGGGTCCTTTTCACTTCTGCAAACACAAAACTCAAGGTGAAAAGTAATTGGACAAGCTAACAAATGAGTTGGGGCTTGCTGCATTCCCCACTGGCGAGTTGCTGTGTTTCTCTTGCCACCAAGAGCAGCCTCTTTGACATGGCCTTTCATGTACCAGCTAACAAAGAATGGAAATCTGCCACAGATATGAGAAAAGAGAGGCTTTAAACAGGACAGGCACTAAACCAGCATGATTTATAGGGGCTGAGGATAGTGCTTTACATTTCATCAGTCTTCCAGGGGCTCCATGATCCCAGCTGCATCTTTTGGAGATATTTGGTGCAAACTGTTGCTCACCAGACCACAGAGTTTTACTGCAGGCAGAAGCAGAACCCTCATTGTGTGCACCCTGCTCTCCAAGGGCTTGGGGTGTAAGTGAGGCATTTCTGAGTGGGCATTCCTGGCTCTTACCCAGGGGTGATGGAGACACTGATGGAGACACTGAGCCAGGGGAGCTGCAGAGACACAGGCACAGCTCCAAGCAAAGCCTGCAGCAGGATGAGGCTCAGCTTTCCCTGTGTCCTCCTCTGCCTTGTGTCACCCCCCTGCACTGGATGATACATGATGGCCGTGGCTGGAAGTTTGTCAGAAGGGAGGAAGCCACTTGCTGGATCTGGGAAGGGGCTGCTGTGTTTCCTAAGGCTGAGTGTGTGGGAATGACATCCCTTCCTGCACTAAAACACTGGTGATACTATCCCAGCACCCTTGTCATTGCAATGTATCGGGGTGCCAGGGGTTGATTAAATGTTACTTCTAATCTCCTCATTAGTATTTTCAGTGCTGTCACGGTGGTGGGTTGTGGGCACAGCCCTGGCGGGGTGACACCGGCCCTGGCTGCTCTGCTCCCTGAGAAGCCATGCACTGGGATGTGCTCAGCATCTGGGATATCTTTTGCTCCTTGCTCTGACATTTCAGGGACTTGCAAAGTGTTTGTGTGGTTCCTTCTGCAAGGTCGAGCCAGGCAAATGGCAGCTTTCTGAGAACTTTACCAGCTGTTTCTCTTGCCCTTCTCTCACCTGCCGCTGTAAATTAAGAGGCAAAAATCACCCAGACTCCTGTTAGCTTCTCCTGCTGAAGGCTTGCAGGAAGGAAGAATTATTTCCTTTGGATGCCAGGACAGGGAGCCTGTGGCTCCTGCACATTTGACCAGGCAGGTATTATCAAGTAAATGTGCCTTGGGATTTAAACTGCACACATTGTTACCATAAATGGTTCTCTGTGGTAATATACATCATCTTTATTCTTTCCATGCCAGCTGAGTAACTGGTAAATGACAGGTCCTGCTTTTCAATCCCACCGTGTTGCCAGGGGCTGTCACACTTTTAATTTTTGCAATAGCTGCGAGCAAAGCAGTAATTGTGTTTCCCACTTCCCACAGCTGCAGTGCTGGCTTTGTGTTCCCTCGTCTTAATTCCTCTGCTGTTTGATGTTTCCTGAAGTTCCCCACGACACTGCTGTTAAAGTTATCTAATGTTTGATGGCTGATCAACCCCCCCCCCCCCAAGAAATACACTGCAAGTGTCACGGGGCAGGAGGGGTGCACTCAGATCTGCTGGGTGTGATGCTGATCACTGAAGACACCTGGGCAGGGTGAAGGGCAACGTGTCTGTGCTCTGTGCCCCTGCCCAGACTGGTAGGATTTGGGAGCTGAAGTGTGCAATATGTGACACATTGCGTGCGCTGGTTTCTGCTGAGAGATGGGACAGCTTTTGAAGGGCTGCTCCGTTAAATGTGTGGGTGTTTCTGTAGGTCCAGAATGACTTAAGTGGAAGTAATTTTGGGGATGTGATTTTGCACTTGCTTCAGTGTGTTTGAAAGGTCTGCTCAGGACTATTAAAGACCCTCCGGCCTTCGAGCAGCAGCTCGGGGAAGTTTGGCTTCCCAACTCTTTGAGGCTTTGGGTTGGATTTTTTGGTGTCTTGTAAAGGGTAGGTCTAGGTGATGCTTTTGCTGCAGGTTGAGTGCTCATCATGGCCTTCGCTGTGGATTCTCCAGTGGTTGGAAATGTTTAATCCAGGTGTTCTGTTCCTGTTTTCTTCTCTAACTGGCTGCACTCAGTACCTTAGAGGTCTCCAATCCTCAGTGCTCTGTGGGTGAGGCTACTCAGGGAGATCAAATGCTGTCACTCACAGGCATGTGCTGTACACTGTGTTCTTCACCAAAGCAGGCTCACAGTGCCTGGACTTACAGTTTCAAGGTGTGAAAGAGAAAGGCTTATATGCTTCTGAAGTTTGCTTGAGTTCCCTGTGAGTCCAGCCCAGCCCAGGCAGGTGACACCTTTGAAGAGCACACCAGACTGGCAAACAAGTGGGACTGATTATCCCCCCGTAAAACTGATAGTGCTGGTTACAGCAGATGAAGGCTGTTTGCTGAAGGTCATGCAGACCCGCTGTAAAGCATTGCTGAGAGATCACACATGACAAGAACAGGGAGCAATTGCAGTCTTGTGGCTTAATAAATGATCACTGGGAAGCTGGGATGAACCTAGGGACACTGCACTCATGGAAGGTCCCCAGGGACGCAGGAAGGGTTCTCTCATTTGTACAGACAGTGTTTTGGACATGAACTTTTATTTTTCCCTGCTCCAGCGTCTACCCTGGGCTGTCCCCATATCTGGGCAGCAGAGCAGAATGTGTCCTACCCTCAGCCCTTTCCAGTTCATAATCTGCTGTCATGCTCCAAACCATCCTTACTGATGGGTGAACCTGGTACCAGAGCTTATGGACTGAAGTGAGAGGGACATAGATCCATATTTCCCTTTCCCAAGCTGGATGCTGCAAGAGTGGACGTACATGAGCAGGCTGTTTCACTTCTCGTAGCAGGGGCTTCTCTCCCTGGTTGCTGCCCTGGGTTGGAACAGGAGAGGGACCTTAGAAGGAATCCCGTGGGCTTTAAATGCTCTGCTCTGTGGTACAACATCCTATAGTTCTAGGGCTGATGTGAAAGCCCTCTTCCAATGTGAGAAAGTAATTGGAACCACATTTTCTTAGCTGAGTAATTAGATTGATTCTGGAGAAATGTGGACATGTGGAAAATTGAAAAACGGAAGAGTTGCATGCCCTTGGGCTGCAGATGAATGTGTTGGTGCCTTTCTGAGGAACACTGGCTCGATCTATTGAATTACAGGACATGCTGAGACCAGCTCAAGCATGATGCAAGTCCACACCCTGACCAGGGGAAACTCAGACAGAAAGGGGGCCCTTTCTCACTGTGCTGATCTGAAATATGCATCTCCTTCCCCAAAACTTCTCATTGGATTTTGTAGTGCTCTGTGCAGCAGAAGGGTGTGTGTATGTGAATCCAGTTACAGGATTAGGGGACAAAAACTCTCCACATAACTATACACAGAGAAATTTTAATTGAGTGGTGCAATTGATGGGACCAGTTCACAGATCACACAGTTACAGGGATGCTGTTGAGACTGTGCTTGTGTGTATTTTGTCTAGGAGCGTTTTGACCTCAGACATCTAGTGGAAAGTATTTCTGTGGGCTTCATTCCCCAGATTAAACCAGTCATACCTACTGTTTTCTATTTGTGCACATTTTAACAGCTGAGAACTTGTTTGTATGTTGTCAGCCATGCTGAGGGACTATTTGGGTTTCTGGGTCTTGTTCCTGTGCTCAGCTGTGCTGTGGTTTGCAGGGTTTGGAAAGAGCTCTGGCCCTGTTTCTGGCTGAGATTATTTAAGCAAAGGTAAATATTCTTTCACATGGCTCTATGGAAAGGTAGGTCCCCACAGGCAAACTCCTAAGAGATGCTTGTACGTTTAAAATACCTGTTTCCAGTACTCTGTGTGTGGATGGTGTGGGCTGTTCATAGCGGCAGGAAGGAAGGCAAACAGGTACATTGGGCTCTGGAATACCATTGCTGTGTGATGAGTAGAACCATGTAAGATGAGATACTAAAAGCTGCCTGTGTTCCCCTTCCTCATTTCCAACATTATTTTTGAAGCATTTTGATTCAAGGTTTTTGAGTAATACAGAATCTTTTCCTCACATCTCATGGCTTGGACTTCTGGACTGCTCTTTCCTGCTTGGTTTGCTTTCTCTGGTTCTGATGCCTCAGCCTGATCTAACTTCAGAGTTGGCTTTGCTTTGAGCAGGAGGTTGGTCCTGAGTCCATCAAAGTCTCTCATATATATATTATTTTGTGATTCTGATTTTTAGTGGTCCTCCATGTTTCACTTCCTCAGATTTCAATGCTTCCTTTCAGTGTGCACAGTCTTTGCTAAACCATTTCCCTCTTTCATAATTTTACACTTTCCTGAACCTCCTTTTTGCATAAACGCAAGGCCAAACTGATTCTTTTGAACTCTAGCTAATCCATCATCCTAAACTGTTTCTACCTACATGGACTACTATTAAGGTTTAATTAAAACTGTTCTGCTGAAGCTTTGGTCCTGGTCAGCAGTATTGGAATTGCATTAAATGGGGGCATTAAAAATGCAACAGCATTCATGATATCAGCCTTGTAATATGAACCACTGCTTTGTGTGTGTGGTTTACTATCACCGTAAATCAGGAAGCTCCTATGTTGAGATCATGTGTTCACCTGATTTGTTTTTGCTGTTTGCCTTCTCTGATGACATCTGAAAGTCCCGGGGGCAGGAGCTGTCACCGAGCACACAGCCTTGGCATCAGGCATGCCGCCATCTCCGTGTGGATCATCTTTCTCTGGTTTTCCATTTTCTTCCTGAAGTCACCCTAAAAGCTGTCAGCAGCACCTCAGGAGCACTGATACTGCAGAGTTTTACCTGCTTTGTGACAAATATACCCTTCTGTCAGAAGATACCAACCTCAAGGACCCTTTTTCACTCTTTCCCCAGGTCCCATTAGCAGTATTTTAGTGAACCGCTATGGCAGCCGCCCCGTGGTCATGTTTGGGGGCCTTTTGTGTGGTGTTGGGATGATCTCAGCTGCCTTCTGCACCAGCATCCTGCAGCTCTACATCTGCGTGGGCTTCATTACAGGTAAGAACAGAGCACCTCCTTCCCCTCCACGGTTGTGGTTCACATCTGATGGCTTCGGACATCCACACTTGGGCAATGTGAGGATCAACACAAACACAATGGGAAAGTGGTGACATGAAAAGCTGGTGGGACAAGGGCCCTCCTTATTAGCTGCTCCAGATGAACTTCAGCAAAGAGCATGTCCCTGCTCAGCGCTGTGTTCCCGGCTGAACATCGCGTGTGGGATCTCAGCAGGGCTGTGCTCTTGGCAGCTGCGTGCTCTGGGCTGGGGGGGACAGTGGAGAAGGCCATCAGTGCCCTCAGCAACCACTGAAGCAAATTCAGGTTGACTGTGCTCTGCCCTGGGCAAGGCAAGTCTTTCTGGATGCAAGTGTGGCTATAAGAGAGCACCACTGTTCCCATATTACTGTGTGTTATCTTCCCTCTGTGAGATACATAAAATGAGATTTCAGGATTTTGCTTTAGTTCACTTGCCCTTTGCCAGCTTGTGAGGTGAGGAGGTCCTTTATCTGAAAATAATAACCTGGGAGTTGATTGGAAATAAGCAATATTCTCCCTATTGTGAACAAACACCAACTGTATTTCCTTATCGAAGTTGCAATTTGAATTGTCTGTATTCTATGTACATATTGGAAACAGGAGAAGGTATAGGCTCAGTCCAGCACTTTAAAGCCTGCAGGTGCCAGGTTATGGCTTTAAAAGGTAGACGCATTAGAGTTCTCTACCTGAGTGAGTATAGATGCTTAATTATAAACATTTTTGTTTATTATTTTGGATAAGGTACAGACAATGTCTCTTCCAGGGTAGCTAGGACATCTGCTTGAAAACATGACACAGTGAGTTCAAAATTGGCTTTTGAGGTTGCAAGGTGTATGTTTTAATGAATGTTCCCCATCTCTCTACAGATGCATTGTGTTGCTGCTTTCTGAATGTGAAAAGTGTGAGCTCAACATTTAAAATCAATAAAACCAGCCACTAGCGAAGTAAATTGGGACAGAAAGATTGTCATCCTACTCTTCTACACCAATATTGCTTTAGTAAATCCGTAGAGTAGTGAATAAATCCCCATATAGGATTCCTTCTCTTAAACCTTACTCTTTCTAAGGAGTGTCACTGTAATTAGATGAAACTGTGTTATTGCTGGATGAATAAGTCTTGCAGATTCCTTGAAAGAGATTCCAGAAACAAAGCAACGGGAAATAAAAATAACCAATATCTCCCACTATTTATTGATGCATGAGCTTGCATCCTTCCCTGCTGAACAAATGTTCTATAGGAAGTGCATTTGGTGACAGGACAAGGGGGAATGACATCAAGCTGACAGAGGGTAGGTTTAGATTAGGTATTAGGAAGAAATTCTTCCCTCTGAGGGTGGTGAGGCCCTGGCACAGGTTACTCAGAGAACCTGTGGCTGCCCCATCCCTGGAAGTGTTCAAGGCCATGTTGGATGGAGCTCTGAGCATCCTGGGAGATGTCCCTGCCCACGGCAGGGGGTGGAACGGGAAAATATTTAAGGTTCCTTCCAACCCAAAACATTCTATGATTCTGAGTTGACTGACACTGGATTAGCACATAGAAACCATAAAACCTTTGCTAATAATATATGCATTTTGGTAAGCAGAAGGGCTTAGGCAAGAAGCAGGGCTGTAGGAAGACACCAGCTTCTATGTTCAAAGGTCCTTGTCTAAAAACATGGTAGGACGTGTTTTGTGCCTAACCCAAATGAATTGATGAAGACCTTGATCTTTTTTGGTCCCTGAATATGTTTGTAAATCTGGTCTGCTGCCCACCTCAGAAAGCTGATAGTCTGCTCTGTGCTCAGTGCACATGTGTAACCCTCCCACCAGCCTCAAGGTATGGGGCAAACCACCCCCACGTCTCCTTGTCTTTAATGCTGTGTTGTTTCCTCAGAGCAAAGCCCATTTTTTGTTGTGTACCTCTTTTCCTCCTGCTTGCTGAACGAGGGCAGCCGTATGGATGAGTTCTTGGCTAATAACCCATCATTTCCAGGCACGGTGTGTGTGCTGGAGAAGGAATATTAATTTGAGAGAGAAGGGAAGATGCTTGTACGCCTGCTAACATGCTTGATGCCTCTAATTACGCTTGAAGTGCTTTTGCTGGTCAGGCCTTACATGGAAGCATTCAAGGGCAATTAGGGAGCTGCCTGCTCATCATGGAGCTGACAGCGTTACTGGATGAGGAGAGAGACTTTTGTGAAGGGGATTTGCAGTAACTGCAAAGCAACCTGTAAACATCACCCTCTTTTTAGCCTCCTTCCTGCTAGCCTGGAAAGGAAACAGAGAGATGTGAAAGTCTGTGTTCATGTAATTCGCAGGGATGGAGATACAAACGAGGTAGCTGGTGCTGGGAGGTCTCTGCTACAGCCCCGTGCCTGTGGCATGTTAATGGAAATCTCTTCAGAGGAGCAGAGCAGGAAGTATCTGCTTGTGGTGGAGAGATTAGACACGGCAATCTCAGCTGCTTTCATGACTATGTCTGTGCCATTTGCATGCAGAGCAGGAGCCAGGCTCTGCTGTCGGAGGCAGCTCTGTCCTTGATGGCACCGAGCTCTGGGCTGCGCGAGGCTCTTTGCACACGCTGCAAACCCCGCAGTCTCTTCCCATTTGTTTCCCTACAGCGCTTAGAAAAAGAAATGGGGTTTGCAAGCTGTCAGCCTGGACAGCTGCCAGCCTGGATGCATTAAATAGGTGTTTTTAGCGTGCAGCCTCTTCTTAAGTCTGAGGTAGAAGAAGCAAATTTCAAAGCTAAATGCAAGGCAGTAACAACTGGTCAGAGTTTAACTCAACCTGTACCAATTAGACTGCCGGGAAATAAAATGGGATCTTGGATGAAGCCTGTTGGCTGATGAGAGTACAGTCTTTGCCACAGATGAAAACACTGAACATTGAAATACCTGGTCAGATCTCCCCTTGGTGATAAAGTAAGAACATGATCAATAGCTACACAGCTGATTCCTGTAGCAGCACTTACTTCCTTCTAATATGAGGGATATGTATTTAATCCAGGGAAGGACATTGTACCTGGCACAGGCTTGCTTCTGCCCATGCAATTCCACTGACAGGCCTCTCTGTCATATCCCTGGGGAGAAAATGTGGTTTTTGAGTAACAATTTCAGCTATGGAAAAGCTGCTGTAGTTTCTGAAAACTGCAATAAAATGGATGTAAATATTTCCAACTAAAGTAAGCCAAAAGCTTAAAGTAAATTGAAATTCCAGTTATTAAATTTGGAACTCTCCAAATTTAATTAATGGGAAGAGCATGAGGTAATATTAAATTGGATTTGTCTGACTGGCAAATTAATGTTCACATAATAAAAAATTTTAGTTGATTATTGTTTAAGTGGGTAGCTGGCATCCAGTCTGGATTTCCTTCTCTGGAAGACATGTGGTAGGTCCCTACCAAAAATGATTCTGTGGAAATGATGGTTCAATTTCCGCCCTTAATGACCAGCCTGAGAAATGGGGAGTTAAGGCAAATTCTCATCCACTGTACTGCATCTTCTCAGGTGAAAGAAGATGCATTCCTATATCTGAGCACCATCAAGGGTGTTCTCTAACAGAGGTGGTCTTTACCCTCTGTGGTTCTCAGGTCAGCCTGAATTTGGCCCCGTATGTGTCATGAGCAGCTTGTACTTCCCAAAGACGTGCCCTACCAAATATATGGACTATCTAGCAAAGTTCATGCTGAGAATGTGTTTCATATCAAGATTAATTTTAATATGTTGCCATTTGAATTTATTTTTAATGTTGTAAACTTCAAAGTAATTAAAAAAAAAAAAGAATCTTAGACTTGGCAAAAATCATAATTTTGTAAACCCATTCGAACTAAAGGTATCCAACATCAGCTGAATTCTGCTGCATCAGTTGGATTCTACTCTATCAGCACCTAATGATAGCGTACCTTAATTAATTTTGAGGACCTTGACCTTTCTAAATTCTCTTCTGTAAAGCAATATGCCTAATTATGTACTGCACAGTTAAACAAACTAATTATATAGACTAATGAACAAGAAAAAATCCTCATGACCCTATTTTCAGGATTCATGTTCTCTGATATAATCACTCCAAGGATTATATTTCTGCTTTGGTCTAATGTGGCTCATTGTTTCCTGGATGATAGAGTGGAAAATATGATTTCTAAATGTAATTTTGATGGAGATTATGAAGAATTAAATTTTTAAGAAAATACTGCACATCACAGAAATTTTTGGAAATATTATTGGTGTTCGATTATTGATTATTGATGTTGGGCATCAGGAAGCATTTTTTCAGTGAAAGGGTGATTAAGCATTGGAAGGGGCTGCCCGGGGAGGTGGTGGATTCACCATCCTTGGGAGTGTTCAATAAAAAACCGGACATGGCACTTAGTGCTCTGATCTAATTGATAAGGTGATGATTGGTCAAAGGTTGGACTCAATGGTCTTGAACTTTTTTTCCAACCTGAATGATTCCATGTTTCTCTTATTCTGTATAGTAGTGCTCTCAAACAGTACCACAGAAAATTAAGACTGTCCCAGCATTTGGTATCTCTGCCTGTGCAAGAGAAGCTCTCTAACTGAATTAGCAATGCAGATTTATAATAGCATTTATATACCTAAGTGCAATAAAAATAAATTTTAATTAAAAGAAACACTCTAGGGTTCTGTGTAATTAGCATCCTCAGTAGCTCTTTTGCTGTGTACTTTCAGACCTCTTAATCTCTTGCATTACACCTGCATTGCTCACACCACCAAATTAGTCATGGCTGAGAGGGGTGATGTTATTTTCTGTGCAGGGCTCTCTGCCTGGCAGCAGTGTTGGGTGCCTGTGGCCCATGGAAGGGAGGACCAGTCCCAGAAGGATGTGCTTTGGTGGCTGGCACTGTCCAAGCCAGAAAAACCTTCCTCAAACTGGGAGTTGTCATTTTTTAAAAATAAATCCATGCTCTCCCCCAGCAAGGCCGCTGTGTCCAGACAGAACCCATCAGCATTCATTGAAGGAACAGTTTCAGTTTTTCCCGAAGCAAACTCTTTGTCCTAGTTTTGCCACCCAAGAGATTCACAGTTCAAAAGCAGGGGGACAGTCTGACTGAGAGGGTCTTTCTGGAGTTCGGTTACCCAAATTTGGCAGCCAGAAGCTCAGGGACACCTTGAGCAAAGTTTGCAGTAGATTATCATGTTGAAGAGACACCAGTGGTCCCACTGTCCAAGAATTTCCTTAAACAATGACCTGAGGTGAAATGGGTCTCAAATTTTCTTTTTTTTTTAATCTTAACTGTTTTCCAGGATTTGGCCTTGCTCTCAACCTCCAGCCATCAGTGATAATCATAGGGAAATACTTTCTGAAGAGGAGACCCATCGCAAATGGCCTTGCTATGGCAGGGAGCCCTGTGATGCTTTGCACCCTGGCACCTCTCAACCAATTCCTTTTTGAAAATTTTGGCTGGAGGGGCAGCTTTTTAATTCTTGGGGCAATTTTATTAAACTGCTGTGTGGCAGGAGCTCTCTTCAGACCCATCGGGGCAGCCACGGCATCAGCCAAAACCCAGGATGCTCTGACAGGAAAGATCACTGAAGATGCCATGGAAATGGGTAGTCCCAAAAATGTCCCCATGGAAAATAAAACAGAAGAAGGAGGAAAGGGCTGTTGTGAAAAAATCAATCAGTACCTCGATTTTTCCCTCTTTAAACACAGAGGGTTCTTGATTTACCTGATCGGAAACGTGCTCATGTTCCTGGGTTTCTTTGCCCCCATTGTTTTTCTGGCACCCTATGCAAAGCACACTGGCATTGATGAATATTCAGCTGCTTTCCTCCTCTCAATCCTTGCCATCGTGGATATGGTTGCTCGACCCACCACTGGCATCATTGCAAACAGCAAATGGGTGAGGCCGCGCATTCAATACTTCTTCAGCTTTGCCATTGCTTTCAACGGTGCTTGTCACCTCCTGTGCCCTCTGGCTTCCAGCTACACGGGGCTCGTTGTCTACTCCAGCTTTTTCGGCCTGGCCTTTGGCATGGTCTGTGCCATGCTCTTTGAAACACTGATGGACCTGGTGGGAGCTGCCCGGTTCACAAGCGCCGTCGGCCTGGTCACGATCGCGGAGTGCTGCACCATCCTGCTGGGACCACCTATTGGAGGTGAGTGCATTTCCCTCCTCTGCTTCCACTGGCTTGTGGCTTATATTTAGCCTCTTGCAAGCACAGTTTGTAGGAAATTATTCTAAATGTGTTTTCGCTGCTTCCCAACCACTAGTAACTGGACAGGGAAGGAGGTCCTTGGTATCTCCTCCAGCATTTCCTCCTTCCTCCTTTCTGTGTAGTCCTCCAACTGAAATCAGTTTTGGAGAGTGATCTTTTAATCCCTGATCCCTTCAAACACTTGAACTGAACTTGCAGAGCAGGACTTCCTACCACACCAGGAATGTTGCACTTCAGATAGTTCCTCCTCAAGATTGCTCCTGTTGCAAAAGGATGGAGTCCACCACAATTTAAAACACACTGGTTGTACGAAATCCTTTCATTGAGTCAAACTTAAACCTTTCTCTTTGTCTCTAAGGCTCTGAGCACTTCACTTACAAAATTGAGTTATCTTAGTGTAGCTGATAGATTTAAGGCTGTTCCAAAAATAATTAAAAAAAGTTTATTTTGGATGGTTTGAAATATCAAGAGACCCTCAGAGGTCCATGTGGACAATATTGAACCTTCAAGAGGACTTACAGTCATAAAAAGGTAAGTGGGAGCAGTGATCTCCTGTGATTTAATATCCTTAATATTCCCTCTATAACATGTGCTCTTTCCACAAAAAACACACCATATCAGAAAGACACCGTATTTGAATCTGGCATTTGGCTCAGGTACTATCAAATTTGAGTTGAACGTGAATTAAATGACTTTATAGGTGACATTCTCTCAGTGTATAGATACCGTCCTACCTATTTGCCCTGTCCTGCAATTTGCATTTCACCTGCGTGCAATGTTGAATAACTGGTTTGGAAACTGGTCACCTTTAAGCATGCAAAAATGTTTAATTAGGTTGTGTATGCTGTCTTTATTTGGATGTATAAGGTGCACAGAAAGCAGGCAGTTTAAACCCATTTCCTGGATTCAGCACTGAAATCTGGCTAATACTCCATATGACACATCTTGCAGAGCCATTTAATTCTTCATATTAGCATGTAGCTCATACAGTGTGACAGAAGCAGCTGTATCCTCTTGCTGTCTTAGAGATTCATTATTTAATTAATGACAAACAAAAGAAAATACAATTTTAAAATGACTATTTTCTGAATTATATCATTTTCTGTGTGGAAGATTAAGTTAATGACCAGAGACTCCTAATGAGGCTAAAACAGTTCTAGGTAATAATCAGTAATATTAGTTTTGTAGGGTTTTTCCCACCATTTTAATAAGCAGCAAATTTATTGGTTCTTTGGCATTTTAATAACCTACTACAGGGTTCTGCTTTAATGAACTAAGTAAATTGTTCCCAGTGTGTTTTATGACTTTATCTTATTCTCAAAGGAAAAGAGGCAAGACTATCCTACTGTTGAATTTTCCAATACTCTACTCATTAAAACTCTCATTGAAACGTATTTAGGAGACCTCTAGGTCATCCTGATGAGCAGAAAAGGAAAAATTGTTGCAATTAACACTTGGTTGATGTTTCACCAGTAATATGAATTGTGCAGTTACAACACAGTGCATTGAAAATGGTGTACCAAGGCAGCCAGGGATGATCCAGGAAAAACCATTGACCAAAACAAGTGAAAAATTATTATTTTTTGTGATCAAGAAATCTATTTGGTGACCATAAAATCCCTTGTTAGTGTAATGCAGTGGGATAAATAATCATCAGCTTTTCAACATTATGGGTCAATCGGGAAGTAATTAAAGGTCCCTCTTTTTAAGGAGGAGAACATATTCCAAAAAGTCAGAGAGCTAATGGATGATGGGCAGTTTCAAGCAGGACTATCTGTACTATCAAGGCCAGGTTAGGAGTGGGTCTTACTTTAATTAGGATTTGGGATGTTAAGAATGGTCCGTGTTGCGCCAGTAAATGGGAATTAATGCTCAGGATCGTAATCCCAATAAGATTTGCATTACATTTTGACATAATGGAGAACAGTGACATTTCAATTAAGCCATCTCCCTTCAATTACTCTGCAGCTCCGTAGCAGAGGCATTAACCTTTGAGAGGAACCTGTCACATTTGTCTTGGCATTGAAATTATCTGACATTGACAGCATCATCTTTGCTTTCCCTGGAACTAATGTTTCCCAGTTCCACTCTGTGCCCTTTCATCTTTAGATCATGAGTATAAATGCAGAAAGGGCAGCTGTGACCAAAAGCTGAGTCCCCTCTAATGCTGGTGAACAACCTGTGGTGGAATAAATCTGAGGGTCTTTGTCAGGAGTCTGAGACGAGATCCAGTGGGCAGGTGCCTTCTCAGGAAGGTCTTCTCAAAAGCTGCCAGTTTTATTGGCAGCCTGAGAACTGCCAAGTCAAATGGACATCCTTGTAGCTGATCATTGGAGTCAGTGGAAAGGCTGCCTGCAGGCTCTGAGATCAGAGGAATAGTTTCTCCATGATAAAAATAGGTGTGCTGGAAAAGTCCAGGCTTTACAGTGTAGGTTCTGTCCTCTTCTACTTAACTATGCAAATTATGGGTAGCATTACCTGTACAAATGTCAACTACCCACAGCTGTATAGCGGAACATGTTTGAAGCATTTGCAGGTTCAGGATGTCTGTGGAAGAGATCAGAAATCCAGAAAATGTTTTATCCTATTCTAAAGCCACAGGGGTGTTCCTTTATATTTAGGGTCTGAAAACACAATAATCTTGCCTTCATCTCTAAGTTTCTTTTTCTTTTTTCCTTTTTTTGATATATATTTTACAGGAACTCTTATTGATACCTTTGGGGACTATAAATATATGTTCATTAAATGTGGAGCTGTGATGGTCCTGGCAGGAACCTTCCTGTTCATCATGAATTATTATAATTACTGTATGCTTGCCAAGGAGGAGAAGGTAAAAAAGACAAAAGAAGAGGATCCTAAATCTGTAAGGACAGAAAATGAAGGCAGAAATAACTGGAACAAAGACACCACACAGGTTGGACCGGAGCTGGAACCCTTGAGAGAGGAACAAGAAGGAGTAAAGAAGGAAATGAATGGCACAAATGAAGTTTAAACCTGTTCTCATAGGCTGAACAAGAAATGACTTCTGGGTTTCTTAAGTGAGCACCTGCTGTGAAATCACAATAGGTTTTTAAATTTTGCTCTATCCACGTGCATTGTTGTTGTTGTAGGAGAAAACTAGAACAGAATCAAGTCTTGATTCTCATAAAGTGCTGGGACACTGTGCAGTATCCATTTGCATACCAAAGGTCCTGCAATATTATTTTCCTTTAGATATTTTCCATTTCCCAGAGGGGCTGAGTTGGGGTATAACTGACACCCTGCTGTTATTCCCTGTACTACAGCTGCACTCAGAGAAAAGACCAGAAAGGTGGTGTTATGCAGGAGGCCAGGACAAGGCCAACATACTACAGGAGTCCTTCTTCAAGTGCTTTGTCTGTGTGGGGCAGAAATTTAGTTTTAAAGGGCTTAAACTTTGATCTGCTTTCAAACAGTGCAAATTGAAATTTACCCTGGGAGGCTACAAAGTCCTTATTATCCAATTTCTGAGTGCCTTACCATTTTTAGCATGCTTTTTCTTTACAACACCCTGGTGAGGCAATAAGTGCTACTACTATTAATTAATTGTACAAATGAAAGACTGGAGCACAGAGGAGCTATGGGCATCATTGCATCAGTGAATAAAGCTTAGACATGCCAGAGCTGAAATGGGGATCCACTGCCCTGAGCTGGATGCCTAAAAACCCTGCTGAGCGCAGGTATCCTGTGCTAGAAAATAGGGAATACCATGGATAGTTGTGCATTAAACCACAGCCTTCTCTGCAGTGCAGTCTGCTCACTGTGTGCCTCATGCTACAGATTAGTGGTTTTAAACACTGTCTCAGAGCTGTGACCTTGTGCCATGTTTTTTTAACCTGGTTAAGTTGCATCCATCCTGGAGGGAATACAAACACAGCTGCCTCCCCCTTGTCTGGGCCGGGATAGGCACCTCCCTGGTGCTTGCACTGCAATACCTGCTGGCCTCATGCCATCCTGTGGAATTAAATAAATTTCCCCAGGTCAGTGATGCAGAGGGGCAGCTGAGGCCACGCAGGAGACTGTCATCCTGTGGTGATAATTTTGAGGTGGGAAGATCAGGACTCTGACTGATGTGTTTTATACTAAGCAGCTGTTGCCCAGGAGCCATGGGGGCTGAGCATGGCATCATGCTGTTGAGTGCATCAGGCTTTTGTGGATTTAACTCCAAGTGACTAGATAAAAAATAGGACTTTTCAGGCAGGTCACTCAAATCTGAAGTCAACACCAGTCCAAAGGCTAGCTCTCCTTTTAATTTACTTCATTGGTGCCCATATGTGATCAGATAGTATTTTTTTCATGACTTCGTCACTGAAAAGCTCTATTTAATTATCACTTATGTACACACTGTGAAGAAAGCCATGCAAAAATACTTTCATAAATACACTGTACTCTTGAAATACATCCTCTTGTACAAAACCTTTTCTGTGAAATCTTTTATTTCGCTGAAGAATAGTGGTCTTTGGCCGTTGTCTTCAGTAGGACTTAAATTTTATCCTTATGTTATATCTTGTATTTTCTCTGAAAAAACCCCAAAGTCTATATGAAATATTCAGGCCTTTGGTGCTGTGTTTTTAATACCCTTTATTTCTGTCAAATCTACCTGTCATATTTCAGTAAAAAAGGCATTGAAAGAGGTGAACATTTTCCAATATGCCTTCTGGAAGCTTTCATATACTTAATAAAACTATTTTTAAAAATGAAACGGATTTACATTTGCCCACGTGTGTAATGCTGCCTTTAGATTCAGTAAGGAATTTATCCTCAGAGGATTTCTAGTCCTGGCTCCCTGTACATGGTCGTACAACTCTTGGTCATAGCCTCTTACTCCAGGACCACCACTGGGAGCTCCTTGCCACAGGGTTCCTTTGACATCCTCAGTGATCTGGGCCAGCCTGACTCTCACCTCCAGTTGTAGGGGCCCATGAGTCTTAAAAGAGTGGAGAATGACCTGGCAAGAAGATTTTCATACCTTTCCACCAGGTCATATCAATTAATCCTAGGAACAATGACCCAGATTCCCAGCTGTCCTTACAGTGGGAGCTGGTGTGAGGCTCCTTGCCTAGCAAAAACCCAAAGCAAGCTTTTGAGGTTATAAAACTTTGTTAATACAGATAAAATTTTTAATAAAAGGCGTTCTGTTCAGCTAGGTATGAAAATCCTCTGGAAAAAGAGACACTGTTGTTAAACTGTCCCTGAGGGCAAAAACCGCTACATTGGATAAGTGGATCTTTAAGGCTTCAGAATTCTTCTAACATGAAGCAGCTACTTCATTTAACCTACTCACCCTCCTGTCATAAAAGCATATACTCTGTTTAAGATTAGGGCACTACTTTTGTCATGTAGGAAGCCTTAATAATTTTAAGACAATTTTGGTGATTACAGCTGGTTTTTGGTGGTGGGTGGCCTGAGTCTTCCCTGTTCCCTTCCTCCTGCTCCCACCCCACACTCAAGCCTCTGATCACGCCATCTCACTAGTGATTACAGCAAAGCAATGCCAAGTAACTGTACTTAAAAGTCTGTGAGCAGCCCTAGAAATGCTCTGCTGACTCAAATCCTGTGAATTTAGCACCTTGCAGGCTCAAGCTGTAATCCATTCTTGGAAAACTCTCAAACTTTCCTAAGAACATTTTCAATTATTAAAAATGACTGGTGCAATATGAAATATCCATTACAAAAAGCTCTTGTGGCAGAGTAGAAACTGCCTGTGCATCTAATTTAGCGATTTGTGTGGCAAATTGAACACAATATTCATATTTACTTAAGCCTGGAAAGCACCTGTGTAGGCAAGTCAAGAAGTGCAAGTGTTGTACCATAAATATATGTACTAGGCACATGGGGGATATTTGGGATGTCAGACATGCGAGGATGATTGCAAACACTTTCTTTGGAGTACAATTATGAGACTTTTTTTTTTCTTGTATTTCATTAGCTCGTGACCGTATTAGAAGTAATTGCCCATTGTTTCCAAGGTTGCTTGAACTTTGTCAAGAGCCTGATTTGAATGCTGAACCGTCATTCCCAACAAGCACAAAGGAAGCCAACAGAGCAGGAGACCACACAGCACTCCCAGCTCTCGCCATGTTCTGCTGGTGAGGCACAAGTGTTATTTGATGGGGAGGTGTGACAAGTATCATGGATTGAATTTAGATTTATCCCATGTATTCATTTCTTATTTATAGTTCCCCTCACTTTTACCCTCCCTATATTTAACTTTCCAAATTTAAAGGCATGGAGGTGGAATTCAGATGTTTCAACACTTGGACGTGGCAAAATTTGTACACCTTCCCACCTCCTGTTTTAACAGAATGGTAGAGCAGTGACTGTGCCACATGGGGGAGTGTCATACTACTTGAAAGGGACATTTTCTGTCATCACACCTTGTGCCAGATGCTGCTTTGCTGCACACAGCCTCATCCTCCTCTAAATAACGAGAATGAACCATGTTCAGAAAGTGCAAAACACGTGAGGAGACTTGAGAAGTCTGGAGCTACGAATGAGTAGAGGCAACTTGGTAGTAACTGTGTTAATATAAAAGCAAACAAGCAAACAAAGAAATGAAATGCCAACCTATATGTTTGAAATATGTAATTGTTTTAGATGACACAAGAGATTATTCAGGATGGTTCCCATGGCAGCTGATGCCAAATTTATTTGACTGTGTTCAGAAAACACCTAATAGGCAATACAGGTGCATTCAGATTACATCTGGAATGAACTTAAAATATGACTTTCGTGTCCTCTACAGCAATGATGACATTGTCTGTAAAATAGTGTTACTTAGACTTATCGGAACCATGTGAGGGTGTTTTGATGAGTGACATTCATAGCTGTCAGCAAAGCTTCCCACAATGGAAGTGCAGCTCAGAAACACAGACTTGACCTGCTGTCTGCTCTGGCACTCACTGAGGTATTGCTGTGTCCAGAGGAGGCAAAGTATGGATCTACTTCTGACCAAGTATCTGACAGTCCTAATGATGCAAACACCTTAGCTCGTACTGCCCATCATCACACCATCACCATCTCTGAATTGTCCAGCCCATGGTCCAACTCCCTAGCCCGTGAATTTGTCATTTTTGACACCAGGTTAAATCCGTGGGAAGAGAAAACCAGAGAAACACGGGCTTCCCATTGGTTCTCCAGAATTTTTTAGACTTGTCTGCTCGGCGCAAGGGTATCCCACCAAAATGTGTCACATGAAGAAATTCCCGCCTTCTGTTGGGAGCACTGCTGTTTGGAATAAGCACCAAACAATAATGAGCTTCTATGCTTTCCTGGTCAAATCCATTGGCTTCCGAGGAGGAAAAGATATCCATTCACCAAAGACATCAGCTTCAAGATCTGATTCTGACTAACCTTGGACACATCAGGATTCCTGATGTATCCTGGACCCCCTTTGATGTGCAAAGCAGAGTCCCTCAGATTAATGGGTACAGTTGAAATGAAACAGGAACAAGCACTTTCCTCGTGCTGCAGAGCCTGGCATTCCTCTCCTGGACAGATGAAATTCTTAAGTAGTTTTTAATCAGTATGTAATCAGTCCCAGCCATTAGTTATGCCATCTGATCATAAAGCACAACTCCAGAGAGGGATCCTTAGAATATCTAGGAGGTTCCATGCATTATTAAGTGAAAAAAACACAGACTCTACCTATCACCCATTAATACTATGTTTAAGAAGTGCTTGTGGAGCAAACCTGCCAAGCCTAATTATTCTCCCAGCAGACTATGGGGTTTCTTTTGGCACTTCTACAAGTCTGATGGAAACCTCTGCAGCCCTGCTGCTGCAAAGGCAGCATGGGGAAGAAAATCTCTCTGATGTGCTTCAGACGTCTGAGATAGCCCTACCTTGTGCACGCATGCAGATACACACATCCCAACCTTGCTCCAACAGATTGAAAGGAAAATCTGCCTGCTAAAGGCTTGGATTTGGGGGTGCACTCCCCAGAGCTGTCAGGATTGATGTGTTAAAAGACTGTGAATCACTCAAATCTGGTGCCCAGAGGGATCCTCGGAGCATCTTTGATGGTGCTGGGTGGGTCCCAGCCAGGTGCCAGTCACAATGAGAAGTGAGAAGGAAGCTTCTTTCAGCACTGACCCCCTGCCTCAGACCACAGTCAGGGACTGAGGAGGCAGCACAGCTTATTCTGCATGGCTGGGCTCTCCTTTCCGCTCTTCCAGGCAGGACAATTAAGTCTCTTCACAGCTCAGGACCTAGGACATGATCTATGGTAATCCACATTTCTTATTTCTTTGGACTCTTTTCTTTTTTTTAACATGTGTACCCCTTCATGAGATGCTGTGTTGTCCAGAAAGTTGATCAAAAGTCTGTTGGACAACAGTCCTATTGGGTTGATATGGATCATATGGATGAGTGAGTCCTCACCCAAGAAGTTTATAAAGACAACTGTGCTGATTCATTAAGACCAGAAGCAAAACCTTGCTGCTGCTCAAAGGGTGGGACTTCTTCTGCAAGGAGTGCAAACATGGCATCACTATCATTATTGTGATACTGTATTTAAACAGAGATCTATGAGGAGGAATCACCTCTCTAAAGATAAGCTTCCATTTGGGTCCTCCATCAGGGGATTGGCTTAGAAAATCCCAAATATCCAGAAGACTGGTGCCCTTGTGACTAAAGTCAACATTTTGGAAAACAGCCTGACCATTTGGGTTTATCTTTTGTTTCTTTTTGTTCTTGTTAACCAACCATTGCCATACTCTTTTTTGATTAAAGAAACCCCAAATGATCACAGCTGCGGTGCCTAGAAATATATTGAATTAATTTACTCACTAAGTATTTGAACTGTGGCTTACCTGTTACAAATATCCTTCAAAATACAGTATTGTGTAGCACATTCCAGTACGAAACATGAGGGACAATAATATCATGATTTCAGCTTTCGGCCAGAGCAGATAGCAATTGCACACCATATAAATAGAAGTGCAGTGAAGCCACTTTGTAATTACAGTGTAATTAAGCTGTACCTCATTTACTTGTATTCTGAAGTGCATCTGAAGTTAGCACTTAGGGCCAGTCCATGATTAAACAATTACCTTCACCAATACCAGTATATATATTAATACACTTACCTTCGCAGTGTGTATTATTTTTCACTCGTATCTACCACGAACCCAGATATTTTCCAGGGATTAATGATAGGCTGTGAAAAGTTGATAGCCTGAAGTTCAGCAGAGAGCCATTAAACTGGCCTGGTCATTAATCCCTAGAAAATATCATGCACCAAGGTTGTTTTAAGGTGAATATGGAAAATAACTTTCCACTCATGTTGCCTTCTGTCTTGGCTGTTACGTCTTTGTCAGTGTGCATAACAACACCCCAAAATGTAAGTGAGTCCCTCGGATTTGGGTGTGTCTGATGTTTAGAGGATGAATCCTCCCTCAGTTCACCTTTGTATATCACTGAGGCTTCCAGTAAAAGACCCTGAGCAGACAGTCTGTGTTCCAGCAAGTCTGTCTTAGCCACAGTTGTCTGGCAATGTTTGGAGGTTAATTTTAGACTGAGCCTCCATTTTCTGAAATGTGTAATTCCAGCTTCTTTGAGCTGAGAAACAACACTGGCAGACAAATAAAAATATCCACTACCGGGGGAATATGTAAAAAACACTGTTTCATCAGTCATCCTGCTCACACAACTCCCTCCCAGAACTGAGAGTGGTAAT